ATTTGGAGTCATTGTTGTGTTTAAAGTTTTCTTACCAGCCAATCAAATTCGAGTATTATTAATAGAGATATAATAAACTTCCTTAAGTTACCAGCGCAATATCAAAATAAACGCAGTATACAAACAAACTTAAATAAAGACGTTTTTTTTAATCATAAATCAATTAAAGCTAAGTAATTGTACATACAATTTTAATATTATTTTGAAACATCTTCCGTAGTAAACAATGTACCATTCGACAATCAAATTTCTTACAGAAATTCAATTCAACGCAGCACAGATAAAGTTACACACCGGAATATCGGCAATTTTTAAGAAAAAAAATTTTTACATACTATATTAGGATGGACGATTTTTTAGGGCTTCACTGATATCCAAAAATTATAATGTAGTTTAAATCTACATGTTGTGGACATTTATATTTTTATATTTTTTATTTAAACTTTTCATGTGATGTCAACGTCAAATAATTTTAACAATTATACTTGCAGTTTAGAGGTAATCTATGAATTCCTATATTGCAAGGGCATAACCAAGTCAAAAATCGTAGCTTAATTTAAAATCTTTTTCAAAACTATATGTAGTTTGTGAAAATTGCTGCGAACCTATATAGATTCCCTTCTTTATTGCTAAAATTTAATTTGTTGAAAGGTGGATTGAATATTTTGCTGGTCAACCACATTAAATAAAGCTTTAATTAATTTATTTGCAAGATTTCATAATGTTCGCAGCACATTTCAAAGATCTTAATGTTTCTTAAGTGTATGTATAAAAGCTTGTCAAGATACATTGAGGGAATGCCCTTGCAATAAATCGATTTATTGTGCCCTTCTATTACTTTTTCAATGGATCTGCATACAAACAAACGACAGTATCACTTGTCTGGAGAATGTACGGAAAGTTAATCAATAAAATACTAAAAAAGACATCGCATCCAAGTTAACGGCCTTTTTGTTTAATTGCAAATAATATTTATTTGAGAACAAAATGCATTTTCTATTGTACAAAATGTGATTTGACCAGTCTCTCGCTGTGTACAAACTGCGTCATTTTTCGAGATGACGTCACATTGACAAGTGCATTGCAATCGATGCATCGTTTATAAACTGTTGCACGTAATACTGCACGTAATAGTAAGTTTGTAAGTTGTTTGAAATAGCACATGATTATTTTATTTTGTGGAATTTTGAAGATTTTATATTAAGTGTGACGTTATAGTAAACCTCGATACTTTAACCTTAACTGTGCTTCGTCCCAATTTGCATTAATTCATCGTTTTTGAAGATCATGTTTTGTAGGAAAATGATAGAGTTTCGATAATCCTATGTGTATGAAAATCGGAAAAGTTTTGTCACAGATGCACCGGTTCTCTTGAATATATTTCATACTACATAAATCTACATTATGGTAATCTATTACCCGAAGAACAAGCATTCTTAGAGTATTGTGTTAGCAACAAGTCCCTCATCGGGATCCGTTTTCACATTTGGATGTCATATTAAATAACCTGTATGAAAAGGTGCCCCCAAAATTTGAATATTTTAGTAAATATTCGCTATTGAATGAAATAGCACAAAAACATCCTTGAAGTCCATAGTCATGCATACATACTTTGAAAATATTCCAAACAGCCCATTTCACATGGTTTTAAAACAATTGTATGGAAAAAATAATCATACTTGATTCATGATCTGTCAATCAGTTAGATTATTATAAATGTTTTCAGGACATGCCCTCACCATAGTTATAATGCCTCCCTTTCGTTTGGAATAAAGCAGGAAATTGCTGGATGAGAATCGCACTAAAACGATTTATTTATAAAATAAAATGATTCGCAATCGAAATAATTACCAAATTAATTAAGCATTTGTCAAAGATAATACATTCTTTTAACCTAAAACATAAATTCACAGAAACACGAAATTTTCATACATTTTCTCAACATAATCTTTTTCTTGCAATTTACAAACCATGTTGACAGTCGGGACTACCAATTAGCTAGAGTTTTATCCCATTATTTTCCTTTTCTATATATAACGTCAATATTCCTAAACACAGAACGCATTATTGCGTTGAACGGGGTCCAGATCGTATTTGGACCATTAATTTAGCGCAGAACGAACTCCATCTTAAAACACATTTTGGAAGAATAAAATGCCATAATTCTAGCTGTCAAAAATCAAACCTGATTTGTAACTTATCATGATACATTCACATGCCGAAAGGTAGCTACATATTTTCAGGCAGCCATTAGGAAAAATTGCAGAAAAACATGTAGGACAGACTGATAGACGGACAGACGGACGACAGATTCTGAGAAAACCTGTTGTTCCATCTTGTTTCACTGGAAGAGGACTAATAAGTTATATCCTTCTCTTTTCCACTTGTTCATATTTCCTCCGTTTTCCATTCTTTGTTATCTGCATTTATGTGCATTTAATAAAACATTACCCTTTATATGAATATTTGATTGGACAAACCATCGTCACATTTTATAAATGTTGAAGAAAAGAATATTTTATTGACGTTTATTGATTCTTTTTCAAAGCAATAATAGTAACAAAGTAAATCATGGAGACATCTAATGGAATATTTGTACGGCACAGTAGATGAAACAAGGCTTTGAGTTTGATGTTATCGATAAGAACTTAAGAGGAAAAACTTAATAAGAAATTAAAAAAAAATAGTAACTGCTGGGGTGGCAAGGATTGATTCCATACTTCATGATCAAGATTTTGGAACATAGCTCAGGTTAATTATATCTTTTATTTTTTTTCTCAATGACATCCCATCAGTTGAAATCAGATATTTCTGCTTGGTTTTTGCCTTTTCCTTGAGATAAGTCAGCAAGTTTTCCTATTTTTCAATTTAAGTAAAGAAAATGGATCCTACCAGGCAAAGGAAACTTTATATGCTGTCACAACACAGTTTTGAATTTTTATTTTTCTTTGTATAATTAAGAGTATTAAAAAATGAGGGACCTGAAATTGATTTTATGAATCAAACTTTAAGGAAAAAACGTTCAAGATAAATATATTTATTTCAAAAACTCATAGACATTCATTCCACACTTCATAAAATGATCAATTATGTGAAAGCTACATTAAAAATTAATTAATTGTACATGTACACTGCTCAACAAATTAAGACAATTTTTAGCTCACCTGAGCCGAAGGCGCAAGTGAGCTTTTCTGATCACATTTTGTCCGTCGTCCGTCCGTCCGTCTGTCTGTCTGGCTGTCTGTCTGTCCGTCTGTCCGTCTGTAAACTTTTGACATTTTTGACTTCTTCTCAAGAACCACTGGGCCAATTTTGACCAAACTTGGTACAAAGCATCCTTGGGTGACGGGAAATTCAAATTGTTAAAATGAAGGGACATGTCCCCTAGCAAGGGGAGATAATCAAGAAAAGACAAAAATAGGGTGGGAACATTTAAAAATCTTCTTCTCAAGAACCACTGGGCCAGAAAAGCTGAAACTTATGTGAAATCATCCTAGGGTAGTGTAGATATTAAATTGTTCAAATCATGACCCCCGGGGCTAGGGTGGGGCCACAATGGGTAATCAAAGTTTTACATAGAAATATATAAGAAAAATCTTTGAAAATCTTCTTCTCAAGAACTACTGGGCCAGAAAAGCTGAAACTTATGTGAAAGCATCCTAGGGTAGAGTAGATATTAAATTGTTCAAATCATGACCCCCGGGGGAAGGGCGGGCCCAAAATGGGGAATCAACGTTTTACATAGAAATATATAGGAAAAATCTTTTAAAATCTTCTTCTCAAGAACCACTGGGCCAGAAAAGTTGAAACTTATGTGGAAGCATTCTTGGGTAGTGTAGATTCTAAATTGTTCAAATCATGACCCCCGGGGAAAGAGCGGGGCCACAATGGGGAATCAAAATTTTACATAGAAATATATAGGAAAAATCTTTGAAAAACTTCTTCTCAAGAACCACTGGACCAGAAAAGCTGAAACTTATGTGGAAGCATCCTGGTATAGTGTAGAACTGTAGATTCTAAATTAAATCATGACCCCTGGGGGAAGGGGAAGGCCACAATTGGTAATCAAAGTTTTACATAGAAATATATTGGAAAAATCTTTGAAAATCTTCTTCTCAAGAACCACCGGGCCAGAAAAGTTGAAACTTTTGTGGAAGCATTCTTGGGTAATGTAGATTTTGAATTGTTCAAATCATGACCCCTAGGGGAAGGGTGGAGCCACAATGGGGGATCAAAGTTTTACATAAAAATATATAGAAAAAAATCTTTGAAAATCTTCTTCTCAAGAACCAGTGTGCCAGAAAAGCTGAAACTTATTTGCACATGGAAGGATCCTGGGGTAGTTGATTTCAAAATGTCGTAATTATGATCAGTGGGGTAGGGTGGGGATACATAATGTATTACAAGGGGGAAATCTGGTAAAGAACAGAATGGTCGAAGCTTCTCAGGTGAGCGATGTGGCCCATGGGCCTTTTGTTATTCTATTCATCACAAAAGAATCAAAACACCAATGGCCCCTTCTATGAGCTATTGCCACACTTTGCTGTTAATGCCCCACACTTGTAAGACGAACTATCGAATTGGACCATAACTGAAATGTGTTCTTAAAACTTGCATATTTCTTAGAGATGGAAGATTGAAGTCACTGTAATTTTTTTTGTTTCGTTTTTTTTTATCTTTTTAGACAGTTCTGGTTTTATTGGTCGAAAAAAAATTTAAGAGTGAAAATCAAAAATGAATAGATTAGATTGATAATCTTGAAAAATCACTATCTCGTACGAAAATTAGATTCATGAAAAATTATTTCACATGTCTTGAAAAGTATTTCAACCAATGATATATTTGAAAATTTTCATGTCATGTGATTCCTACCAACCACGAAAAGAAGACGGTCATCAATCCTTTATCATGATACAACCGTAACACTTCTTATTATCTTAAACCAAAGAATTTAAGAAAAAAAACTCTTGTATAGTAATTATAAGAGTCTTCCTTTTAATTTAGCTCCCATCAGACTTCTCATAAATATATTGAGTCTTGGCAGAACATGTTCCATCATTCCATTCGCCATTCATGAGTAGCTGAATACAGTCTTCACCGTGTGGATTGTAAGGTTCATTCTCAAACCAGTTGGTGAAGTCAATAGACTTGTTAGAGTGGCTCCACTGGTATCTACCTTCTTCTGTTATATCATTACCACCAGTTGGTGAAGTCTATAGACGTATTAGAGTGGCTCCACTGGTATCTACCTTCTACTGTTAAATCATTACCACCAGTCCAAGCATGGCAACTAAGGTATATATCTGAAGGACACGTGTCTGAAATGTATAATCAATGCAAAATAATTTTATAAAGAAGATGGGCGCATTTGGCGAGTAATCTGCAGGAATCATTTGTACGAAACATTTATGGGTTAAATGTCCATGATTTGGTTGGCTAAACATAGCTGATCAGATTTTTCAAGCACGTCCATAGGTTTTTTTTCATTTAGTTTGAAAGACCGTGTGAAATTGTAACATTTATGTCCGTTTTTCCTGGGGGTACTGTAACATATTAATGTTTCACAAAAAATAAACACCTAAAATACTTAATGCATGATACATGTACATTATAGAATAGAAGATTTATTTAGATTCTGAATTGATTTCGCTCGAGAACCAAACTAAACCAAAATTTATCTAATTCAAAATTCTAATACATAAGTACATAACATAAAACTGACAAAATAAATGGTTGTCTGCAGGAAAAAAATTAATGCCCCATGCCAGGCTCGAACCAAAAATGTTTTGCATCGAGTGCAGTGAACAGGTAACCCAACTTACTGAGCTATCACCGCTACACGTATACTCTTAATTTTAAAAGGACAAAGACGAACCACATTCACACATTTGGATTTTTTTGGGAAAAGTTAATTTTTCGTGGTCTCTGGGTCTTCTCTCCATTTTTGAAAAAAGTGTATTCGTTTCTTTGAATTTAAATACACACGAATAACGTTTCAAAATCATGGAGAGAAGACCCAGAGATAGAACATTTTTAGAAAAACCTGTCTAAAAATGTAGCTTTTTGTACCAAATGTCTGATCTGGCCAATTTTCAAGTTATTTATTAGCTTATCAGAGCTCAATTTCAGGAAAATATTTTCCTTTCCTGTTGCACAGGAACCCGATAAATAAAAAGAAATGTTAAAATTTCATGTGACATGTCGATAAAATTTTCACTTTTCAAGTACGCCAAGATTCCTGCCGAATGCCCATCAAAAGCGCCCACGTTCTTTGGCCATAATAGAGTTTAACCAAAGTTCAACATTCCATCTAAGTCTTACATTGTATGTATGATATAAATGAATCGGCGTTAATGAAAGGTTTTGGAAAACGCTTTTTAAAGCGCGTTCATCTGTAGCTCTTTGCTTAATCTTTCCTTATTTTCTCATTCAGTTTTGAAAGCTATTTTGGAAGTACCTTGAAATATGAATATATTAATTGTTTGGTACAATTTAGAAATTTATTTCAAAATCAAGGATCCCCCCTCAAGTATAGCCCTGTTCCTTCGATGTGCTAGGCTTTTGGTGATCTCTTTTCAGCACTCAATGTTCTTACTTTTTAAATATTACAAATATCCAAAAGTTTCGATATAAGCATCATTAAAGATGCATACTTTGTTGATATGTACATTTGGAGTATCAAATTTGGTAAAGGACAGGATTTGCATTCTTCAGTAAGCTTTGAATTTACCTTTAAAAAGAAAAGTCTGGGCCAGCCAATCAGATTCCTCTTTAGTTTCTATTTCCACCAGATAGGAACAGCTGTCTTCACATTCAGACTGGAAATGAAAGTTGTTTGTAATAGATGATTAATTGATTGATTGATTGCATATTTTAAAAGTTTCTTTCGCAAATGTTTCACTCAGATAGAGACGTCACCGTATGATGATGATGGGCTTTAAATGAAACCTATACTCGGCACTCAGGGCTATTGAGCAGTGAGGATTCTTTATTGTACCAACGCCTATACGATAACACGGAACCTATGTTTTAAGGTTATATCCGAAAAACTAGAGACTTTCACTTCTAATTCTAAGTGCTTGGCGAAGGAACAGTTACTGCAGTTACTCTTTGACACTGATGTGGCATATGACAAGTGGAAACTCGGACAGTATTGTAGTATTTATCCTCGCTATTTTACAATACTGTGAGAGATGACAACAGAACATTTTAACGGTTTATAGTAGTAATCATTTCGCTTCAAGAGGGCTGTGAGAGAGGGGAGTACAAACTTTGACGATAATAAGTTTCTTTGGTTTTTTTTTTTGTTGTTGTTGTTTAAGTTTAACGTGACTATTATTTGTTTGTCTGTTCGTTCCTTATTTAATGTGCCGGTTACTCTCGAGAAAGTTTCACTAATATGGCATCGCATCAAATTGCTGATAGAGAGCTGCAGATTGATAAGTCTATTATGACATAGGGCCAATGATGGATCTTTTTTCGAGCCACAACCTACTGCTTCACGGGGCCTCGGTTAATAAGGTGTCCTCCGAACGACCTACCTCAATGATTGATATTTTTAGCCAAAATCTACTGCGACACGGGACCTCAGTTAGTAAGGTCTCATCCTAACGACCTACATCCTCGCACCACCTACTACGACAAGGGACCTCGGTAAATAAGGTCTCATCAGAAGGGCGTACCTCCACGCACCACCTTCTGCGACACGGGACCTCGGTAAATAAGGTCTCATCAGAAGGGCGTACCTCCATGCACCACCTACTGCGACACGGGACCTCGGTAAATAAGGTCTCATCAGAAGGGCGTACCTCCACGCACCACCTACTGCCACACGGGACCTCGATAAATAAGGTCTCATCAGAAGGGCGTATCTCCACGCACCACCTACTGCTTCACGGGACCTCGGTAAATAAGGTCTCATCAGAAGGGCGTACCTCCATGCACCACCTACTGCCACACGGGATCTCGATAAATAAGGTCTCATCAGAGGGACATACCCCCACGCACCACCTACTGCGACACTTGACCTCGGTTGATAAGGTCTCATCAGAAGGGCGTACCTCCACGCACAACCTACTGCAACACGGGACCTCGGTAAATAAGGTCTCATCAGAAGGGCGTACCTCCACACACCACCTACTGCCACACGGGACCTCGGTAAATAAGGTCTCATCAGAGGGACATACTTCACGCACCACCTACTGCGACATGGGACCTCGGTAAGTAAGGTCTCATCAGAAGGGCGTACCTCCACGCACCACCTACTGCCACACGGGGCCTCGGTAGATAAGGTCTTATCAGAGGGACATACCCCCACGCACCACCTACTGCCACACGGGACCTCGGTTAAAAAGGTCTCATCAGAGGGACATAAGTCCACGCACCAATTACTGCGACACGGGACCTCGGTAAATAAGATCTCATCAGAATGACATACCTCCACGCACCCCCTACTGCCACACGGGATCTCGGTTAATAAGGTCTCATCAGAGGGACATACGTCAACGCACCAACTACTGCGACACGGGACCTCGGTAAATAAGGTCTTATCAGAAGGACTTAAATTATTTCTTTGTCCTGCGACCATAATTATAACAGAAAATAATCTCTGAGCGACTCGAGCAGCTTAGTCATTAGACATTTTTTGACAATATTAATACTTCGTTAACACCTATTAATTTGTACAGTTAAAGGTCTTTTTACTTTTACATTATTTGCAGTTTAAGGTCTTTTTACCCTTACAATATTATCAGTATAAATTATTTTAACATTTACAATAGTTACAGAATAAGGTCCCTTTACATTTACAATATTTTACAGAATAAGGTCTTTTTACATTTACAATATCTAAATTTTAAGGGCCTTTTTTACATTCACAATATGTACCGTATAACTTCTTTTTACATTCACAATATTTACAGTATAACATCTTTTTACATTTACAATACTTACAGTTATTATTTTATATCTATATTGTTCCAACTCTCTGATTGGCTCAAACTAGATCACATGATCAAGTAAAAATGTGGTATTGACAGGATGTTTCTATTTTAACAATTTTAAACCTGCTGTGAGGTCAAACAAACTATGCATATTGTCCTTCTTCACATATTGAATTGAATCCTTCCTTAGAAATAGAATTGGAGCAGAAGACCCTGCAAATTAATACATATCTTAAACCTGAATATCAATTCTTTTTTTAATTGATTGTTTCCAATAATGTTTTACCTTTGCTTCCATCCAAGTCACCTCGGTTTCACCAAAAAAGTAACAGTGAGTCTTATATTGCCACCAGCCAGGGTCACAACCTGCTAATTATTATTTTTAAAATACATTTGTCATTAATATGAAGACGATCGATTGTAACATTGCAGAAAATATTATTTCTTGTGTTTATGGTTTATGCAATTTTTAATGATTATCACTAATGGTTATGCCTGTTTATAAACAAAACAAAAAAATACATTTATAAATGTCAATATCACTTATTCACTCTTTATTGAACAAAACGCCTGGGCTATTACATTCTTGAAGAAATCTTTCATATGTATGGCTTATAGAAAAAGAAGCTGTAGCTAGTGAAGAGGATGATGATTGTGCGTGCTGAATGATGGTTATATATTTTCTACACTAGTAAAAGAGAGACATTTCCAATCCAATTTCAATGAAATTTTGATATTAATTACATATAGGTAATAAATTGCCTCTAATAAATCACTACCAAATATCTAAAGAACTTTAAAATTTAATATCTTGACGTTTTATTGAACGCTGAATTTGAGTAACGGATACTTGTATGCCCGAAACATTCCAAATATGATCGTTTAATATCGAACGCCACGTTGTAAAAAAAAAAGAAATAAATCAGTTGCAATGTTTTTTTAAATGTATTTCAATTTAAGCATTCCTTTTTGGCAACATGGGTTTTTAATTATTTTTTTCATGTTGATTAATTATATCTCTCAGAAGACGTTTTACACGGTTAAGATATTAAGAGACTAAAATCAACTCTACAATGTCCCTTACTTGTTTCTTTTCTCATAAAAAAGTAATAAAAAAAATTAAAAATTTTAAAATTAATGAAACAATATGATTTTTACCTTTTGCAGTGAAATAAAATGCCCAAACCTCTTCACGAGAAACAGATCTTAGAGACTGTGAACCAATCATATCACTCGTACCTTACAGGTTCGTATTCGACTGCTATGTAAAATGGCCCAACATATACCTCCAAACGCTAGACATTTATTTGCGCATGAGATCAGACCTAGATCAAACATTTCTTCTCTGATGAAGAGGGAATTTGTGATGATAGTATTATCAAATTCTATGACTCTTTCAAATTTCTTGACACGGTAGCCTGAAGGAGGACATGGCATTGTTCCTATTAAGCTTGACATGTAAGATAATAACAAAACTATGAACAAAGACCTCATTCTGAGCAAATCTATATTTCTTGTCATGAGTTTATATAACGCCCGCGGTGTTGTTTCTCGTATGAAGTAGTGGAATGAGAGTACCAAATCCCCGGATGTGCACATAGCTTTATTTGTGGTAGTCTCGTTCAACCAGACGCTCGGCTGTCTCCGTAAACTCCGATCTGGCTGGTCGGAGATTTACGGAGACACAGGCAGGCCAGTCTAATAGAGACCCCCATTTTGAAATGTCGTGTGACTTTAAAGACAGAAATTGTTACTTTAGCTATTCTAGTCAAAGATTTTTAGTAAGCAAAAAATAATGACAGATATATTTGAGACCCTGGGAGAGAAATAAGCCTCAAAAAGTTAAAAAGTCTGGGGTTGCAGGCTTTGGACAGGGGGGGGGGGGTGCTAAAAATGGGTATGGGAAGATGAGGGAAAATTGGCCAGAGGAGGGCAGTGCCGTCGAAAGGGTGCATCGGGTAGCTCTTAGGGTAGAGAAGAGACTAACTAGGTCACAGTGTCTAGGTGCAGGCCTGGAGCATCACAGTATCCTAACCGACTACCAGCATGGGTTCAGGAAGAAGCGATCCTGTGAGTCCCAACTAATAACAACAATCCAGGACCTCGCCATGAGTATTGAAAACAACACCCAGGTCGATGCAGTGCTACTGGACTTTTCCAAAGCATTTGACAAGGTCCCACATGAGAGATTGCTAGCCAAACTAGACCACTACGGGGTACGAGGCAGCCTACTCAATTGGATCAGGAGTTTCTTGTCCGGACGAACACAAAAGGTATTGGTCGAGGGCCATTCTTCACCAACCGCACCGGTAACATCTGGAGTGCCCCAAGGAACAGTCCTCGGCCCACTGCTATTCCTGACATACATAAATGATTTACCCTCCAGAGTGAGGTCCAAGGCCAGGTTATTCGCGGACGACTGCCTTCTGTATAGGACCATCACTACAGAGGCGGATGCCAGACAACTCCAGACGGACCTTGACAATCTCCAAGATTGGGAAACAGACTGGCTAATGCATTTCAACCCAGACAAGTGCGAGGTTATCCGTATCACCACCAAACGGAAGCAACGCATAACCCCATATTACATCCATGGGAAGGAGCTAGCCACTACCACCAAGGCCAAGTACCTAGGGGTCAACATCTCCAACAACCTATCGTGGAACCATCATATTGATAGTGTATGTAAGAAGGCAAACAACACCACTGCCTTTTTAAGGAGGAACCTCTCGTCCTGTCCCAGCAACATCAAGGACAAGTGTTACAAGACATTGGTCAGACCCCAGGTAGAATATGCATCCACTGTCTGGGACCCTCACACAAAGAAAAACATCGACAAACTAGAAGCTGTGCAGAGAAGGGCAGCTAGGTTCGTGACCAATAACTACAACACCACCAGTAGTGTCACAACGATGATCGACAGGCTAGAATGGGAAAGTCTACAACAACGCAGAATTAAAGCAAAGGCTATTATGATGTACCGTGTTGTCCATTCCCTTGTTGCCATAGACCTGCCCCCACAATTCAGCCAAACAGGAGCAGCCACCAGGGGACACCAACACCGGTACAGGATCCCATTCTGCCGTACCAACGTCTACAAGGAATCGTTCTTTCCTACTACCATCAGGATATGGAACCAGCTGCCAGAAAACACCATCACGGCCATGTCCCTGGAGTCCTTTAAGACCAGGATTCAGGGATATAAAACACCATAAATCATGCAGGACACGTTTTTATCAGTTTTTAATATTGTAAATAGATGCGTGGACTCCCCCTCACGTACACGCTTTTAAACATAGTGAGAATATGCCGCAGCAGCGGCCCTTCACTTTACCGGAAGAAGAAGAAGAAGGTCAGTCATCTCTGCCATAAGACTTCAAGTTATGCATCGACCCGATGCACCTTACTCTGGAGCCGCATGGAACTAACTAGAAGAGGATCCACTGCAAGGACCAGAGGTTTTGTTGTGGGGCGCACCACCCCAAATGCATTTTTAAAGTAATTTAAATTATATTTTATGAATATTAACTTGTTAATTTCCTGTTTTCGAATAATTGTGTTCAGGCACAGGGGCTTGTCACGAAATATTTATTTTCTTTTACTAAAGTTACCCCTAATATAAAAATACACGTTTATTAAAAGAAGAAAAATATTTCGTGACAAGCCCCTGTGGTTCAGGGAGCTTTTTTATTGCCTCGGGCTCGAGATTCGGCCAACATCATGTTTTTCTTGTATTTTACTTCTTCCTGATGTTTTTCGTAAAGTTTTATATAATTTCTAACGTTTAATGACCCTTTTTGTTTTATACGATTGAGTATTCTGATACGATTTATTTAATTCATGCTCATTTTGTATTTGATTTAGGGTCTAGTCCACTGGGCCACCAGTGGAGATGGAGGCACCGGTAGACAGACTACTCGGCCCAACGACACCTCGGCCCGTGCTGGTTGACACCTCGGCCCTGACAGGTCGGCTCAAAATCATTGACACCTCGGCCCATACCGAAGGGTTCATACCGAAGACTGCTATAAATATACGATAATTTCAATATTTCAGTATTTTCTAACAAACCACAGCACAACATCAAATTACAATCGTTGATTGGGAGGTACATGTAATAGGTATACACAAGTTTATGCCCTGATCCGCAAAATTTATTGATTTGTTTAATTTTGATATATATATTTTACTGCTTTTAAATTTTAAAAACATAATTTTTTTTTCAAATCAATTCAATAAAATAACAACAATGGTTTCTTAAAGGAACTTTTCATTAACATGAGTAAGTCTCCCCGTACGAAATTTCATTCACGTATTTTCAAAATTTTCCAGGCGTATTAAATCCCTAAAATCCTGGTGCAAATCTCAATCAGAATCTCTAAACAAAATCCAGGCGTATTATAAGAAATCCAGGCGTACACGAGGCGTAATCCTCCCGTATTTTTGGCCGAAATATGCAAATGAGTACGCCTGGAAATTTAAAATACGCCTGGAAATTTAAAATACGCCTGGAAATTTATACGCCTGTACAGCAGAATTACGCCTCAAATTTCTCAGCCATCACGGCTATAAAAAATACACCCGTAGAAAAATACGCCAGTAAAAAAATACGCCTGTAAAATAATACGCCTACATAAAAATTTGTTTTAATATTAAAAATTGCTATCTAATCAAAATACTATATATGTATGGGGGTATGGTTTTGAAATATTAAATGCTAATAATTAATTTTAGTACACCAGATTTCCAACAAATTGATTGATAGGTATAAATAATATCAAACATCAGCTTATATAATAACAGAATTTTTATTTATACATTTTAAAAGCATTTTAAACAATGATCAAAGCAGGATGCTGAGGTAAGATGAAGTTTGACTAATTTTACAAGTTAAGTACGAGTATAAATGTTTGATTGTATTTTTTCACTCAGTCCTTGGTTTGTCTTTTCAGCAGTTTTCTGCTATAAGCGATTCTTTCGGTCACACCATCATTAAGTTTGGAGTCCAGCGGTACATTAAAACCATGTTTCAGGCACCAGCTTTTAACATAGTCTGAAATGTACATTTGCAATGTCCACACTTATTTTTGATATCAAGTTTTAGGTAATAAAATCAATTACGAATAAGCAATCTATGGTCAAGCCTAGATAATCCGAACTTGTTGGGACTAACAAAAGTTCCAGATATACCGAGTGTTAAAAAATCATTACTTGAAGAATTTGATTAGGACCTCCTTATCCCTTCACATATAAATGGTATTCAGATATTGGCATTAAAGATATCAAAGTGCAACTGAACTTGATAATGTTTAAAATTTGGTCTGCTTACCTTTCATCAACTCTATCTTCTTCTTACTAAGTGTCGGCCTTATGTCACCAGGTTTTGCCTTGTTGAACCCCTGTCCTCGTGACAATGCTAATTCTTCATCGGAAAACAGGAGAGGTATGAGTTTGAGGCAAAGAGAATACCCTGGATTGCTGTGTTTCTTGGCCATTTGTGATGCCTTTTTCAGATTTATTTTGTCGACTTCAATAGGACAACTCTCAATAAGTCTTACTGTCTAGAAAAAAAGGAATTAATTTAATATGCTAGTATATTTAAATTATGACATACAAAGCTAACCCAACGTAAATGTAAACACTTTTATTATCCAAATACTTCTATAAAATTGAAATTAAGAACTAAAGGTTTTGGGCAAAAATTCAGTCGGGATATTAACTAATATTCACCTCTCTTCTGCTGACACTGGGGGCACTGCTCCTTTGAGTTGTCTCTATGGCACTGCTGTTGTTTCTTTTGCCCTTTATTTAATAGATATTCAATTAAATAAATTATCATTAAATAAATAAATCTATCTCATTTTTTACTTCATAATATATTTTCCATGAAAACAAATAGATACATTCATTTTCATGCGGATGCTTTGTTATACTTGTACAAGTATCAGATGTATGTGTACTTTTACAGGGACCAACCGAGGGGGCGACTGAGGCGAAATAGTCGCTTTTGGGCTCCAAACTTCGCCGTAATTCATCATGAAAGCGAAGTTAAAGTCGCCCTAACATTTGCAACCCCATTATTGAAAATCATGAAGAAAATCTATTAAGAAACATGGTAGAATCGTCAGTAGTTTATAAATCTTGTTTTATTACTGCTCAAATAAACGAAACAGCAGGACACTTGCACCTGTTTCGCTACTAATGACCAATGCGTCGAATACTCTGTCGGAACTCCTCTAGATTTTACACTTCCGGGTATGATAAAGTCCATTGTTACAAGTTAGACGCAAAACAGCTGGTCAGCTATATCGATGTCATGCCAAAAATGTTGAAGATGATTTTAGATCTTTTTATTGCCAAATAATTAATTCATGCTGTGAATACAGACCTATTTTACTGTTAAATTGTGTAGTTATTGACTGTCTAAGAAATTACACGTCTGATATACCAAGTTCAATCAGCATGCAGTACGTAGTATATCAACACTTTCTCAGAAAAAAAAAATTAAGATTGAAAACAAATTTTGAAGAGATAATAACAAAATTATGATTATGCAATGAGGCCTCAAATTGAAAATGAAAAGATAGAATTTAAAAGTTAATTGTGCCAGGGACCTATATGTCCCTGATTGTGCATATTAATTATTATGCAAGAAATGAAAAAAAAAAAAAAACACTTTTACATTGTCATTATTTTTTTTATATGTTTTGTTTTTTTTTTGTTTTTTTTGTTTTTTTTCTTGCTAGATATACCTTGTAATTGGAAAAAAAAATTCAGATTCTTTTTCTCCTTCTTAAATTATTTTTACTAGGATTTTAATATAGAAAAAAATTATTGAAAAGTATTTTAAGTTATCATACTGTAAACAATGAAATAGTTTCATTTTTATAAAGTTTTATAATGATCAGTGAGCATCATGCGCGCGAAGAAGTCTCCCTAAATTTCAAAACTTCTCCCTAAATTTCTCTGAGGGAGAAGTGAAGTCTCCCTAAATTTTGGGTCTAGGTTGGTCCCTGCTTTTAATGTGTGCTTTACAATAAAGTGAACCATTATGGTCTCCTTACAATTACAGGTGTGCTCTACATTTCTATTTCACCTAATCTACACAGTAAGTTTACAAGTACCATTTTTACCAATGATCCATATAAAATTATGATAATTCTCCTTCACAAAGATAGTTTTCGAAACCCTAAACAATAAACAAAGTCAGCAGATCTCGCAAAGTAATGCTCACCTCACTGTTGTTACTCGGGGGAACACTTCTTTGGGGTGTCACTTTGCTGGTGTTGAGGGTTGTTACTGTGGCACTGCTGGTATCCGTAACGGTATCATCCTTAACAAGTTAAATAATAAATTTAAGGAAAATAAATTCATGGTATACATATTATACATGTAGTTAAAAGGAAAAAAAAAATATGAATTGCCTTCTATTTTTTCTGTTTTTAAACCAGGTTTGTGTATACTAACTTTTATGTTAGTTGCATCAAATTATGCATTTATGACATAGGTTGAATATTTATACACAAGTAATATTATAATAACTTTAAATTTATCAACTTCAAGATCAGTGATTATGGGGAAACAATTAAGTTCCTCGCTTAAACATGTGTAAAAAGTCACTGGGTATAGATGCTTATTCCTTGTTTGTGATGGCACTGGAAAATAGTATTACCTCAGACTGCTCAGACAAAGTAGGAAGTAATGATCTTCTCAGTGTCGTACTTTTCACTGCTGGTGATTTTGCTGGTGATTTTGTGTGTTTAGGGGTTGATGTCTTCAGGAACCTTGGGGAACGTCTTGGGGAGATTGTATAACAGTCATTCATGTTTCCTGCAGATATGCTGGCATCATAGTTGTTGTAGTCCTGATTTGGATATGGATAATTTGTTTGGCTAAACAAATACATACAGGATATAGCTTGTTATTTTTCTTTTTATTAATTTAAATTACATAATGCATAGAGTCAAAAGTCAGATTTGTGAAATATTATTACCTGATGAGAAGAATAATTCTGATTTTGGCCATAGTGATTCAGAACTTCTCTGATGTATGTCTGAAAATCGGGGTGCATGATGCCCCTCATTGTTTCCAGGACTTGTGGAGAAGGAACTAAATATAAAAAATTGAAAATAATGTAATCATTAGTTAACTCCTTTTGCTTGAAATTAAAACACAATGTTGACACACAAAAAATTATATTCTATAAATTGTGCAAATTAAACAGTTGTCAGAAATTTTTTTTTTAAAAATGACTGGCCTTATGATTAAATGTATGGATATCGTCATGTACAACATAGTTACCTGGAATAATGCCATTTGTCATGTTTGTTGCTGGTAGCCTAAAACTGTCGTTTGAGAGAGCAAACGTTTGATGCATTTCAAACCCTTCTTGGGACCTTTGGCACAAACCCCATGTTTCTGTCAATGGTGTTGAGACAGTCTGCTGGTTTGAATCCAAATTTATGTAAGTTGCAGCCAGGTTAAGGGTTGGTTCTTTTTCATTTTCTGGTGCTGATTGATGGCTTGTTGTACATGTGCTTTTGAGAGGACTTTTGACTAAATTCAATTCTGTTTTTTCTGTTTCCATTTCTGTAGCTGTAGGTGCTGATGGCGATGTAGTGTCCTTGTCGATGGAGAATTGACTTGCCATGGAGACGATCTCCATAGACATACTTGCTGCAGCTGTGGCTTCCACTTTTTTTTTGAACTGTTCTTTTGTCTGTTTTTTTCTTTCCAAGCTGTCCACTGATTTCTTAGCTGGTGCAATCTGTGTATCTTTTTTCTTCAAATTTTCTTGCTTCTGTGGACTTGCTTTTTCCTTCTCCTTTGTGTTTTTTTTCTTTTTAGGATGATCCATTTCTTCTTTTTCTGTAACATTTCTTTTTTTAAGGGGGCTTTCTTCCTCACTTTTTTCTTTCACACTCGCTGTTTTCTTCTTTTTGGGACTGATTTCTTCATCTTGGATCTTGCTTTCTTTGGATCTTGTTGTTTCAATGCGCTTTCTTTTTCCACTGCTTGAGGCTTCCTTGAAGTTAAGAATCTCATTGATCAAATGACTGACCTCAAGGTCTTTTGAATCAGCATGTTTTTTTAAGACGCTGTTATTCACTTTTGACGCCCACTTGTCCAAGAAATCTTTGTTGTCTATAAATACAAAAAAAAAATTGTTGCAATATAAAATAATACTGAATAGCTTACATGAAACCCGTTTACAAGATAAAACTAAGATTTATCTAATTAATTAGCGGGCAAACAGCACAAAAGTAGTCAGTCCTTTATTGTTTGCCTAGCTTTTATGTTTCTGCTACATTCTTTTATGTTGTTTACAATTAATGAATTGATAATTGAAGATCGAACTAAGAGCTATCAAAGTTCATATAGATCTGTTATGTAAAGTGTATACTTGCCGACTATAAAATAAAATTTCCTTGACGGTGACTTGACTTTAAAGTTAGTTTATTTACAATCGCGACAGTCTGCAGGCAGCCATTTTTCTACAGCTTGTATACCGAACCCGACTTTTTTGCCACTAAGAATAATGTAGCGTGCAAATTAATTACCATCCAGTATCCATTGTGATATTTTTAGTTTTCTCCCTTCCATTTACTTCAATATCTCACATATTTAACATGTTTAAGATTTAGGTTTAAGAAAACAAACAAACAAAACATCTGGAGAGACGTTTGAAAACCCCGGGGGGGGGGGGGGGTATTCAACCTAACCCAACCAACTCACAACTTGATGATTTAGTAAGAAAATTTAGTAAAAAAAAAAAAAATAGAATGATCATCTAAGTATTGAGAACATCTAATTTAAAAATTGAAATGTTTCTACAGTTATTATAATACAAAACACAAATAAGTTACACCCTCCCTTTCCACACGCGTCTCAAATTACACGTTATTACAGTTGTTTGGTTGTGTAACTGTTAGAAATACATTATACTTGACGATATTTAAATTGTCTTATAAATTATAGAATTAAAAAAAAAAGTAAATTAAAGAGAATGGGCGTATGTAAGAATTGACCGCGTAAAAAAGTAGCAATACGTTCAACCACGACAATTTTTAAAAAGAGTCTCGTGCTTACCATGGATTTTTACAATTTTGCATTTGTACTCCTTTCTTCCCATCCATTTCATGGAGCAGTTTGAACCTTCTGTTAATTCACTAATGGTCAAGTTCTTGTCATTCTGCGAAAGAACGCTCAAACTCCTATCTTCCATGAAAAAGAGACACAAAAACTTTGTGTTGGTGCTTTCCTCCTGGTCCATGTTCGAAAATCTACCGCGCGTTTCTGAATCTCTGGTTTCAAATATCAATCCCAGAATCCGCTTGCGCTGCTGCTGACCATCATGACCACTGAGGCACTAGAAGGGGGAAGCTACTTGACTGCATTTTCATATGAAGTCTTATGGATTTATTAATTAAATTGAATGTGCTAATTAGAAATATTTTTTATTCTAAAATACATTGCCAGTAGAAAATTGGATCAACATTCTGATGGAAGTTAGAGATTAAAAATACGGTGCAATTTCCCTAAGCATGCATTCCTCTGGCCTCACCATGCTCACAGATAAGATCGAATTACGTACGCAGCACATTACAAACTCGTAAAGTGAAAAACAATGGAAACAGAAACAAACAAGAAAAGAAAACGAGGGCCGTATCTTAGGGATACTTTCGATGATAAAGAAGAATTAACACTGACTGTAGACTCGTCATTAGAATACGCAAATTTACAAGAAGAGTCTGATTTAGTTTCAAGGCATTCTAATTTACAGACCACTTCCAATTCAACATCTGTTCTGCCTCGGATAACAGTAAGTGAAGGCTAGCTGTTTTATTGTTTCATATAAGTATAACTTTGACATCGTATATTTGTAGAAAACTTAAAGAAATTCAGTAGAACAGGAATCACGGGAAAAAAATCGGGTTCGAAATTGGCTAAATACTAACCGGAAGCAAGCGAAATCTTCTCGTTTTATTTTTAACTTTTTAGCCATCCTGATGATTATTTACTTTTAATTCGTTTTTGCTTTGGCAGAGTCAGAGGTCCGAGAGAGAAAACACCAGTGCAGATATAACAGCAGATAACCAAGCATCAGATTCTATCGTACATTGTGCGGAAGAGGTAAATGAGAAGGTAATTACACATGAAAGCTGAATTCAAACAGTTACTTTATGTTTTTTTTTAAATTGACATACTGTAACATTGATTATTAAAAAAAAATATTAAAGTCCCAGAGTAATTTTGTTCATACTCATGAGTTGTCGATGTGACACTGACACTTTGAATGAGCACAGATCTTTTGAAATAAAGAGCGTCTTTTACTAGACTATGACCTCACAAGAAGTTGTATGATTTTCTATAATATTCTATGATTTTGAATTTCTATAATAAAGTGTGAATAGAGCAATTTGAAAAAAATATATTGTACTATATCTGTAAAATTCATTAAATCAAACTGAGCTTAGAATTTAAATTTGCTGAAAAAGCTTGTAACGTTGAAGGTTATTATTCAACAGTTCAAGCCCTTCGTTGCACTTGAAAACTAGTATTTATGTGTAAGTAATATCTTATATGAGTATACATTTGAATTATTAGGACAATGAAGAAGAGGATAGAAATAGAAGTACTTCATCATTACAAGACTTTCTTCATGAATCCCTTGATGAAGAGATGTCAACATTCCCTGTGATCAACCTTGAGAACAATCCAGAGGAGGATAATGATGTAACATTAGAGATTCTTATGGAGGACCCATTTGTAGGCAAGGAAGTGGAGGATGAAGACCAGGATATCTTCTATGATTTACCAGCTAATGATGCAGAACTGACAATTGAAGACAATTTGAACAATGATGACATTGATGCTGAACCATTGTATCCAGGAGCAAGTGTGACCATTGGTGCCTTCATGTTATTAATAGCTATTTTTTCTACAAAATACAATCTTATTGGAGATGGAGTTGAACAACTTTTAAAAATCATTGCACTGGCTCTACCAAATGGACACAAATTGTGTACTAGCTTACATTCTTTCAAAATGTACTTCAGGAATTTGCGGAATCCCTTGATTAAGCATTATTACTGTGCTCGATGTTTAGCATATCAACAAAATGATGGACGTGGACCAGGAGAAATTTGTACAGTTTGTGAGTGTGCAATGGATAAATCAAACAAACGTTACTTCCTGGAAATGCCAATTGAAAACCAACTGAAAAACTTGTTTGCTCAAAATGGATTTTACGATAACTTGCAAGGTCGATTTAGAAAATCTTTCAATAACAGTTATGAGGATATTATTGATGGGACCCTTTACAGACAACTTTACAACAATGATGGACCTCTGAGCTCACCAGATAACCTCTCTTTTGTTTTAAACACAGATGGAGCTCCAGTTTTCAAAAGCAGTAAAGTTTCGATTTGGCCAGTTTTTCTTGTCATAAATGAACTTCCCTTTAAAATCAGAATGAAAAAGGAAAATATGATCTTAGCTGCACTTTGGTTTGGAAACGAAAAACCAGCTATGGGGACTTTTCTTAAACCGCTCCAGAAATCTTTTATGGCATTAAAGGATGGGATTAAGTGCTTTTCACCTGAGCGAGGAGAGTTCCTAAGCAAGTGCTTCCTTCTTGCAGCAACAGCAGACTTACCTGCTCGAAGTCTACTGTGCAATAGTGTGCAATTTAATGGAAAGTTTGGTTGCTGGAAATGTAAACAACCTGGTGAAACTGCACCTGTAGGAAAGGGCCACACTCATGTGTTTCCTTTCCAAAATGAGGATCCCATGGGGCCTATAAGAACTGCAGAATCTGTCATGGAAAATTCCATCCAAGCTTTGAGAAACTCAAGAGAAAAAGTTAAAAATCCTGCTGTCTATGGAGTTAAGGGTCCTTCTTGGATTTCCTATTTCCCTCATTTTGATTGTGTCCAAGGTATTGCTATAGACTATATGCATGGTGTATTATTAGGAGTTCAAAAGCTACTCTTGACGCTATGGTTCTCTCCAAAACACAAAAACAGAAATTTCAGCATTTCAGATCAGTCAGACAGGTTGAATAATCGTCTGGAAAACATCCACCCAACCTTAGACATTACACGGCTACCAAGATCCATCAATGACATGAAGTACTGGAAAGCTTCCGAGTATCGATCTTTTCTTCTTTACTATGGAGGACCAGTGATGTATGGCCTTTTGGATGAAAATCGATTCAACCATTACATGTGTCTTGTAAATGCTGTTCACATTTTACTCGGCAATGGATCTTCTGTTTTCAATGTGAACAGAGCTGAAAGAATGCTTTTAACATTTTGTGAACATTTTGAGAACTTGTATTCTCGATCATTTATGACACTTAATGTTCACCAGCTTGTTCACATGGCACAAGGAGTCAGGTGTTTAGGTCCTCTGTACACACACAGCTGTTTTCCTTTTGAGGACAAAAATGGATTTATCTTAAAACTGATCAGAGGAACTCAAAATATTGATAACCAGATAATTACTGGGGTGTCTTTTATTCAAAAAATGCCAGAGCTGAAACAAAATTGTCTTACAAAGGGATCTGATGTTGAGAAATTGTGCCATTCAATAGAGAATCCACATCCTATACAAAGAGGTGAAAAAATAAGTGACTGCACATATGTTCTTGGTGGGATAAAACAAAGACAACTGTCAGATGATGAATATGATGCACTCTGTAGGTTCACTGGAACTGCGTATGTCACTGACAATTTGTCTAGTTTTACGCGCATGGAAAAAGACAACTGTCTCATCTATGGAATTGAATATGCCCGCATGACAAAACGTGACAATTCAACCATTATGTTTAAAGGAACAAATGGAATTAAGTTCGGAAGAGTGCGATGTTTTCTGAAATTATTAGAGAACATACCTGTAGCCGTTGTGGAAGAACTGAATTGTCTATCGTATAATGAAGGTAGTAACTTATTATCTGTCAAACATTCAGGTATTTTAACAATTGTTCCAGTTGACAGTATTGTGATGCTGTGTATGTTGATTAACATTGAGGACCAAGATCAGATGTTTGTGTGCAAATTTCCAAATAGACTGGAATGTGATTAGTTACAGGAAAGACCGGGGGGGGGGGGGGGGGGGGGGGGGGGGGGGTATTTAAAGATAACTGTGAATCAACTATTATAAATTTAAGCTCTGTGGGTTAATATTTCATGATAGAAATTTCTCCTTGTTCAGGAGGAAAACTCTGCTGAATGTGTACATACTATTTAGACAATGCCATGATTCTTAAGGTAAACATTAAGACAATATTAATATTCAATGTTTATATATTTGGTAAATAAAATTTCGTCAATTTGTCATGATTATATTGTTTATAATATATATTGGGTATTAATGCAATTCATTAGAAAAAAAAAATGAAAATTTTTCTTCCTCATGAAGGACAATCACTAATGCAATTATTCCATGGAGGAAAATTTCTAAGTGAAAATTTTCCCACTTTTAAATAAACTAAGTCAGAAAATCCACCTGAACTTTCAAAAATACGCCCCATCAAATTTTCTAAGTTTTTTTTTCCCAGTGTAAGAAAGACAGAGTTAAAAATCCACCCGGATTCAGAATAATACGCCTGGAGAAGGGGAGGCGTATTTCAGTCAAAAATACGTGTACGTCTTAAAATGAGACGTATTTTTAAGAATACGCCTCGTGTACGCCAGGATTTGAAAAAAATCCAGGCGTAATACGCCTATGAATTTCGTACGGGTGACCCAATTATGGCTTCTCGTAATTAACTCCTCATAGTCACCACCCCATATGACAAGCGCTCGAGACTCTAAAGGATGCACCGCGTCTTCTTGTTTGTTTAATGATTTTAGCACTTACCATCAAGTTACTAATGGATTGTCTTTCTTTAATTACCGTCAATTTGCCGTCTTGGAAGATTGCAAATGTATCAAATTAATTTTCTTTTGCATTTCATAGATATATAACAGCATAAATAATAAATATATTTAATTAAAATAATATATTTCTATTTGGGCCGAGGTGTCTTTTATGTGAGCCGAGGTGTCTGCAAATTTGGACCGAGCCGTGGGAGCCGAGGTGTCAGTGGGCCGAGGTATCGTTGGGCCGAGCAGTCTGACATTCGGGGCACCAAACCCCTGCGCAGAGGCTTCGAAGCGAGCTGCCCGGACCGTGATTCGATGAGTGAGCTGCACTGTGCGCCCGACCAGCAAAGTTTCTTGTGAAAGTAACATTACGAGGCAGGGATTGTCGCAGAGTTCTGTTGAAGCTTTCAACCTTTTGCGAGTTGGTGTTTTTGATTGTCCTGTCCAGTACAGCTGGACACAACCTCTTAAAGATGCAGGCAAAGTTTGGTTTTTTCTGCCTTAGTTCTTTTTGGCATGATCTCTAAATGTTTTTGATCTATTTTAATTGCCTTTCTGATTGACTCTGACAAGTGTCGAGTGTCAATGTAGTGAACTGGGATATTTTGCAGCAGACCGTCCTTATAGAGGGAATCTGCAGCTCGACCGACAGACCTGTCCGGGTCAGTGGTTACCTCCCTCACCTCGAGGCCACCTTTGCAGAGGAGTTCCTCCATCTCCTCCCAAGCCCAAGTGAACTCCCAATGGTATGGTGCATTGGTAGATTTGCCCCACACACCCCAGGACTGCAGTGGTCGTTAGCAGTACCCTCATCAAGTAAGTGGCCATGTTGAACAAATTTTATTTTTAGTTACCATTTTAATTATCTGATGTCTTGTAGTGACATTCTCGGCAAATGAGTATACAGTCTGTGTCACCAGCTGGAAGGGTGTCTCACCCACCCCCGAGTACATGGGGTTATTGTAAATGCCATCACACTGTACAGGGATAGCATGTGGAGAGTCACTTCCCCTTAGAGTGTTTACGTCCACCAACTGGCCACACCTGTTTAGCCTCATTAAGGTTTTCAATAATTGCCAAATTTTGTTTGATGTCTTTTGTATAGACTTTCACGTTGGAGGGGGAGTGTTGGTAGAAAGAAGGATTTTCCTCATCCCATCATTGCCTATAGGGTTTGACTGAGGCCAACCTGAAGCCCGTAGTTAATAGTAGCAGCTTTCCTACCCGGGGATTTGGTCTCGACTCTCTACCTCCTCATATAGATTGTACCGCCTTGATACATATAGACACTTACAACATCGAAGGCCCATCCTGCTTCCCAAACCACGCCTCTCTTCGGATGCCAGATCCCACTCAAGCGGTCCATCGCATCCCCGATTCCCTTGCTGGTGGAGAGAGATCACCTCATTCCACATCTCGGCTGTTTTTCCAAGGTGTAGCAGTCGATGAGAATTGTGATTGGCCAATCTAGGTAAATATACCATTTTTCATTTGTTTGAGACAGATGACAGTATACAGTGCATGAGAGCACATTTTAGAGTTACTTCCCTTAGACTATCTGACAAGACATAGGAAATTTTAACATCATGTAAATTTAATTCTTTGAAATGAATGCTTCTGATTTCTTTTCTTATGTACCTATATGACTTTCAACTGCATGTATTACATTTGTCTTTGCATGTATTTACATGTAATAGTATACATGTAATATGTATCCTACCCTAGTAAGGTCCATTTCTCCCATATTTAGTCATGTAAAAGGTAAGTAAGACTTGATTTGTTAGAATTTTTATGAACTATTGCTCTATTATAAATGTTTTATACAAAATTTGACTTACTGTTCTGATTCATTTGTATTTAGGCACTTTGGAGGGCTTTCAACTTTCGGTCTCGTTGGCCTAAGGAGATGGTGGCACATGGGCCACACGAGCATTTCCTGCCCTTCCACACTATAGGAGTTTCCGAAACCATCTGATGCATCTGCTGGGACAGTCTGTTGTACCGTGCAGGTAAAATTTTCACATCAATAATTTTCACTCCCTTATTATGGGGCACATTAAGATTTTGAGGTTTGAAACCATAGTTATGACCCTTTTTAAACTTTGACATGGTTTTAAATTCTCCTTGTTTAAACTTCTAATTCTCAGAAAAATGATAAATGGTCAGTGCTGTTTAAGGCTTCAGAGACTGAACTGTAATGTCTTATCAAAATTTGGGTTTTTCTCTAGCCTGTGTTAATTGTAAACAAAGAAGATGGGGGGCACCTGCTATATCTCTAATTTCCATTAGAGAGGGGGGTGATGAAACTTTTCGCATATTACTTAATCTGCAGGAAGGACCAGATAAAGATCATGTAGTATACTAGAAACATTAATGAATAATTTTTCATTATCATCAAAAAGTTTGCGAATTAGTCTATTTGAAACCTTGAAATATTGCTTCATTTGCTAGATTTACATTAAATTCTGCAGCTATTTTCAAATTCTGGGTGGAACCCACCCTTATGAAAAAATTGACTCACATGTAGCATTATCTCATTTTATTTTCATGAAACAACAGAAACATGGCAGTTTATCAATATTTTATTCATTACAGTCATCCATAAATCCAAATATGCTCAAAAGTCTGAAAGTCATTCACTCTGTCTAAAAGTTGGTCGCGGTAAGGTGTCATCAGTTCAGATGGTCACAGTATCCAAGACGCTGAGGTTGCAGGACTCAAATTTCATACATTCACTCGGGTAAGTGTAAAGTTTTTAAAAATTACTAAATTGACTTATTCCAAGGTAGGTAAGAATATGAGTATAGTGCATCCTAGTGGATCCTCTCATACGCTTACTTTAACATAGAGGGTTTTATTTTTGTTATCAATACTTATTCTCAAAAGAGAGGGTCAATTTGGATGACTGATCCTAAATCTTACCCTTTCTGACAAAAAAAAAAGTCGACAAATAAAAAAAATGAACATGTATCTATTAGAAAAGGGTGCAACAAAGACGGTCAATGACATCAAAGCATTGTTCTATTTATGCAAAGATCTAGGCGACCCACAAATCAGATCTTTTAATGTTTTTCGATAAAAATATTTTTTTTCTACATTTGTTTTGTTTGTTTGTTTTTATTCTGTTTCTTTTATGAGGGGTATAGCCAAATACTGGGGAGAACACTAAAGAAGGCAAATTAAGGCGTAAGATCACTAATAATTAAAATGATTATAACTAATCTATTGTGTCATCTGTTGTGTTTGTTTCTATGACAGTGTATTTTAAAATAATTTATATGATATTAATAACAGTGTTTAATTTGAAATTTAATCTTTTTATATTTTGAGAATTTTAATCGAATTGCGAATATTTTCTTAAAATATTTAATCAAATAAAGAAAATTCTAAATGATTGTCTAGATTTCTAGATTTTAAATAGAAGATTCTAAATTTTACGCCTTGTTCTCTAAAATATGACAAGTACAAACATGTTCATTTTCTCTGCTGAGTGTCCACTCAAAAGCTTGATAAAAAACAAAGAATACACTACAAATATCTTTTATCTCTCTGTGTGAGTAAACATATTCGACGTGACGCTATTCAGAGTCGATTTTGTACATAATCAACCGATCCAATTTCATGTGACATATATGCGTTTGAATTGCCATTGGGATATATTTACTCAATGGAATTTAAATAGACCTTTTTGATAAGGTTCAAGGACCTGAAATCAACATATTCTTATTCAAAAAATCATGAGCTAGGCTCACTTTATGCAAAAATTGGCCCTGTGATATTGCAATTTATAAACCAACAAAATATATACTATGCATCTTTTTTAAAAACATTTATTCATGTATAAAGTACAAATTCAGTCCCTTTATTTTCTAGATAATAGCTTTCTCTGAGAGATAAAACACCAGCATTATGAAAATCGATGCCTGTCGTAATGAAAATTCACATTTTAATCTGTAATCATTCACCTCTTCTCTGAGAATGACATATTCGTCTTAGCCTTACTTATCCAACTTAATTTCCTCTGCAACTGACAAACATTCTTAATTTCACATGAGTTCACATATCTACAATACCCACATGACTAAATTAATAGTTATATGTTCGACATCATGATGAATACACAGTTTTGTTTTTTTTAAATAACCAGGTTTTTACTATCCCTTGCCACCTAACTTCTGTTCATATTTTAGTAAAAAGTGGTTAAAAAGAAAGATTGAAAGATTTTATTCAATTTTCAAAATTTAATTCAGTATAGGTATGATAATTGTTTCAATAGATTAATTTTTAGCTTTCGTTTCAAATACAAAAAAACAACATAAAATTAATGTAGATTGCGGTACAGTGTAACATACTGAATACCTCTTAAAGATGTCTTCTAGTCTACTATACACATGCGTAAAAATTATATGTACATGTACGTACATGTATTTGGTATTGTCTGTAGTGATATTAACTCATTGTCGATTTATCTCTTGTCCAAATAAAAAAAACCAGAAAGTTCGTTAAATTTTGATAAGTAAAGCTGCCATTCATGTTTAGATTAACATCATTATCTAAAGACAAACATATTGCATGTATATCAAGTTAACATATTTTACCCAAATGTTTTTTTTTATAAATCCATCATTTATTTTAACATCCGAAATACATTTATCATAACAATACAATTGTAAAGTTATACGTTAATAATCCATGACCGAGTCTAAAATGCAATTCAAAAATAGCTCTTTAATTCTATTCAAGTCAACTTTATTATAAAAAGTTTCCGCACCAGTCCTTCATACCATCAAAGCAAGCTTTCTGTTGTCCTTTATCAGCCCCAAAGGTTCCTACCCATTCCTTAAAACCGGATTCATCTATCAAGAACTTTCCCAGGACTTTGGAAGCCTAAAACAATTCAATATTGTTAAGATTTATCTTGTAAATCTAATTTAACAATGAATGATTTGCATGTATATACTGGAGTGGAGGAGAAGGCGAGAAATGTTTCTTTGTAAGACTTTTGTTTATTTAATGTATTGTAACATTGTAACTCTTGAATCTATAACAATTATCGTAAATTTAACATTTAAAAAGAGTGATACAAACCAAATCAAAACCTTTTTTTCTCATCTCTTTTCCAGTGGTCTTGCCTATTCCTGGAATTGCTGTCACTGGGCTCAATTTCATAGACTTCTGTGTAAATTGTAAGTATTTTTTCGTTACACTGGGTATTTCCTTTCCTATATAAAAATTCAAAAATATTATGTCTTTTTTTAGACAATGAAATTACCATCCTATGGTAGAAAACATGTTCAGTCCTATTCTATGCAAATTCATTTTAGGTTACTGCCCAAAACCCGATTTTTAGAAATGCTGTGTTGAAAAAACTCTTTATGTAAGCTGGTGGCTGTGAAAATATAAGACTAAAGCTCCATGTAACCTAGATCAGAGAAACTTCGTTCATCCTCATATTCACTTCCTCCTTGATAAATGGGGAATAAAATGGTATTACCATGAAGAAGATTGTAATGTGTGCAAATCTAGCTTCCAAACAACACATGTCTCTCAAAATATGTGACGTCTGAGTACCCATTATTGCTGAAAAATACCATATTTTTCTTTGTCATATCCAAAATATGTTTATTTAAAATAATTTCTTTGTGTATCTCTGCAATGTTTATTAAATTAACATGACATATATTTTTCATTTGAAACAAGTCCATCTCGACTTACTTTCGGGCTAAAAATAAACCCTGTCCATGACCTTCGATAAACAGGAAGTAGAGTACCCATTATTGCCGCTTATATCTTTTCCTCCTTATTCACCAAATAATCGCAAAATAAACCAACCATTTTTAAATTCATGACAATAATAGAAAAAAAGTCTTAAATATAAAATTATGCAATTAGGCAAAAAAAAATTAATTTCTTGGTTCTCAGGCTCTCCCTCATCTCTTCCAAGGGTGCCTCATTGACCCTTTTTATTGCTAAATCAATAAAATATAAACCCCAAATCACCTCCCTCATCATTTTTTGAGGTTTTGTACAATGTAAAAAGCTGCCGCCTCATCATGTTTTGAGGGCAATAAAAAAGAAAACAAAAGCCTCCCTCCCTCATCATATTTCTTGAAAAAAGGTCTGAGAACCAAGTAATTAACTTTGCATGGCCTTAGAAACCCAATTTTAATGTTTTATTTTAATTTTTGGTGAAATTTTTTTATTTCAATGTTGCTTCGACCTCGTGCGCAAATATAATCTTATGCAGCTTTATCTAGCTTTTCCAGTTGACGCCATTTTATCTAAAAATAGTAACATATGGAAGGCACGATCCGTTCGAATTTGTTATGTCAAGTAAACGTTGACATGAAGGTGAATACACTGGATCTTAGCAATGTCAATTGGAAGTAACTGATTAAGTAAGTAACAGGAAGTTTTAATAATATTTTATTTCTCTTAATGTACATAAAAATCATTTCTTAAATATATTTTGAAGGAAATGTACTTTCATAGCATATGCGAAAGTTTTCATATTATTTATTAAGATCTAGAGAAAGTAAGATAAAATACTTTTTAACGATTTTAACATAATTATTGATGTTTTCATGAATAAAATGATTCTCTAGAGAGTCGCACAAATTCCCACAATAGTTTTTTAAAAATGTGTACTATCGGGATCGGAGACATATTTGTCATCTCTGTATCTGTATGTATACGTTGTAGTATCCTATATAGGCTTTTCACAACAGTAAGAGAGAGAGCGCCGGATGTTATTGGCGTCGATGTTCCTGTAGGGCGGTCTAAAATCCCTCTATTGTTTTCGCATGTACGACAGAGTTGGGTAGATGGTTCCACTCAATACACGTGTCCACAAAGAATGAGTGCTGATATTGTGGTTTTTTACTGGCTGGTATTACTAAGCCTTTATTGTTGTTGCACACATGTTTTTGTATAATGTTTGTTGTCTGATGGTCCTTATTATACCCCCCGCAAACGAAGTTTAGGGGAGGTATATTGGAATCATCATGTCCGTCTGTCCGTCCGTCCGTCTGTCTTTAGACGAGATTTTGTCCGGACCATTACTCAGAAACTAATGGAAGGATTTGTCTGAAAAGTCGTACACATATTATTCACCATATGGAGGTGTGCACCTGATATTTTCATCTTGATTCAATTATTATTTTGAATTTTACAGGTGTTTTTTCATTTTTATTTTGTGATTTTGTCCGGACTCTTTCTCAGAAACTATCGCAAGGATTAATTTGAAAATTTGTACACTTATTATTCACTATATGAAGGTGTGCACCTGGAATTTTCAACTCTTTTTGTTTATTGTTCTGAATTTTACAGGTTTTATTTTTTATTTTAACTGACTTGTTCATTTGGGGATCATGTATAAGGTTTGAGACATAGAATCTAGAATATCTGTACAAAAATATGAACTTCAGCTTAAAACTACTCATAAAAACTTACAAAGAAGAAACATCATCAAGTGTTAAAAACAGTTTTTACATTGCACAGAAGATAAAGTAATTTCATTTGTCCCTTGGGAATAATGACTGGACATGCATCCAGTTAAAGATAAATTGATGAGTTTGGTGTGAGAAGTTGAACATTAAGACATCTCATTATCAACCATGTTTTATCTCCTGGGAATCGGGCACAAGAATTAAAGATCTCTCTTCTCTTATTCTCTTAATTGTAATTTATTGTCTGTCAAAGCACTTCATTACTGGATGATCAGCTCTTTATTTTCAAAATGAATTTGATATAACGTTATCAACATTAATTTGATTTTGTATAATATGATTTTTTTTTTCAACAATCAGTTTGCAGAGTGTCATAACACATAATTGCAATATATTTTATTTAATGCAGAAATTAAAAAAATTAAAATAAAATGAAAATAAATAATGTTACAATGGAATTACAATGTATTAGTATTGATGTTTCATTTGGTTGCACCTTTGTTTCATTCATTAAGAAACATGATGAGCAATTATACTTCACTGCAAATTTTTGTAAGTAAATTTGAACACCTCTAGATCCATAAAGTATTTTTGAATTGGCACCTTCTCTGAAAAACCCAGCGGGGGGTATTTGTCCCTATTGGACAGTTCTAGTATTGTCTTGGTTTGATTTGGCGTTTTTCTTTGGTATGTTTTACTAATAGATGAGGTGGTAGTGCCGGCACCGACCCCTCAACCACTTTGTACATTAGAATTAATCGCAAACTTGTTCTTTTTTCCTCTAGTGTTTCAATGTCGAGACTTTCCCTCATGGATGTTAGTGCTCCTGGATTCCTACTGCTGTAGTCCTTTTTTATAAATCTTATGGCTCTATTTTGTATTCTTTCTAACTTGTCAATATCCCCTTTGAGGTATGGGTTCCAGATAGTTGCTCCATATTCCATAATTGATCTAACTAGGGATATACATGTATATGCTGTTTTACTGCATTCTTCAGGGACATTTCGGAGGTTTCGTCTTAGGAAGCCTAGAGTGTTATTTGCTTTCTTACTGATGCTGTTTATGTGTAGACTCCATTTGAGATCATTTGATATTTCAAGTCCAAGGTATGGGTTGTTTGTACTTCTTGGAGTATGTGGCTGTTAAGTTGGTATGGTTTTGTTGATTTTTGATTGATTGACATAATGTAGCACTTTTTAGCATTGAATCTCATGCCCAACTTATTTGCCCAGACCTGTAGTTGGTTGAGGTCGTTTTGTAGTATCTGATGGTCTTTGTTGCTCCTGATGGTTCTATATAGGAGGCAATCGTCGGCAAATAGGCGTACAGACGAGCTGATAGCGTCTGGTAGATCGTTTATGTGGCATTGGAACATTTTCGGGCCGAGTACTGTGCCTTGTGGCACTCCGGAGTCTACTGATGTTTCCTCCGACTCTATTCCCTCTACTATTGTTTTCATTTCCTTGTTGTTAGGAAGTTGTTTAGCCATATGCATGTGTGGAGTGTTCCTAGGATGCCATATTGATGTAGTTTGTGAAGTAGTTTGTCGTGAGGTACGGTGTCAAAAGCCTTGTGATTTATGTAGAATGAAGCGTTACAAGTTTATAAAAGGGAGTAAACTTAGTATATTTTTGACTAATTATCATATATTTCCTATTTTTTTATTGAATATTATTCAAAACATGAAAATCAGTCATTTGGATATCTCCTTTATTTCAATCACGCTCGAAATTCATCTCGAAGTTGTCTTGATTAGCTCCCCTAGGTTACCGTGGTAGAAGTTGTCATTGTTTGGGTATATTTTGGCATCAGTATTGACTTTATTCCTTATGATTTAATGAAAAGGATGCTTATACCTTTCATCTTTCAGACTTTACACCTCAGAAAGCAAAAGTTTAATTTTGAAATCTTTCTTTTAATTTTTAGGTGGAATAGCTACTGAATCGGAACTGACAATGACCGAAACGCTATTTTTCCAAATAGACGCTGTATTATAACAGATAAGAGAAAGAGAAGTATAAGCCCCAATGGCTGCAGAGCTTTGGCAAACACTTTTAAACCAGTTTTTGCGTATACTTTTGCTTGTGAACCAGCCTTCAAATATTCCTTCCAACATGATGGTAGGAGCTCCATGTTAAAACAGCGTACTTCCAGATTGATTGCAGTAAATGGATGTCATTGGTCAGTGTCATTGATGTTTTTTAAATAATATGAAGTATTGATAATGTTTTTCATGTGCATTAAAATATATATCGAAAAAATCCCAGCCCATCCCCCACGCACCACGCACCTGATATAATGCACCCGACTTGCAAGTTTGGAGGATTTGTATTGTGGTGTCACTTCTTCAGCAAAGTTATGTTACTTGGATTTTTTTTTATAATAATAACTAATATGAAATGTGGAATTAGGTATAAATTTTAATATTTTTATGAAACAAATCACTTAAACCTCTCTCCCGTCCCAACCATTATGCAACAAACTGCATGCAATGAAGGAAATCTTTAAGAAACTATCAACCTTGAAGGAAATTAACTTGGTCATTAAGAGTCACATTTATGTGGATTCAATGAAAGTATAATTATTTACTTTATGTGTGTTCAAGAATTTATCATGATTCTTTATATTTTTTGAAGGTCCTTTTCATGTGAATTCAGAAGTTTTTGGAATAAGACCATTGTCATAAGACTACTTGGTGCTTTCCGCACAAGATGGCAAAGTATTTTGTGACTGTCAAGAGGAGCTTTTTTGAGGAAGATGAGAGATGTGCAAAGGTATAACGGTACCATTTAAAAAATAGTTATGACATCCTGGGTTTTTGGCCAATATCACTTGCCATGAGTCCTTATAACCACATATTGACCTTTGTGAAGTCTATAACAATACAGAACAGGACTATGGTGGGCGTAGCTACTTTCCGTTCCGTATTATTCCTGTATAGTGTCTTGTATTAGCCAACTATTCTGTATCTAAAATACAGCACGATCTGAAAATAAATTTTATTCAATTTATCAAAAGCGTGTACAAATAGTAAATGCTGATCTTTTCCTGCTATAAATAATTTGGAGAAATATTTCCCTGGGAATGTTAAATGCCAAAATTTCACTATCATTTTAAATAAAGTGCCCTGCCACAGCATGATACGCCCGTCAAATATTGTTCAATAATAATAAATTGGTTAGGATGCAAGAAAATCAGGTAGCCTTGATTAACAGATTGACACAGATTTCAATGATTTAATTTCCATTTCTTATCATACATCTCTAAGAGACTTGCAGTGTAGGGATTGATTATAACAAATACATCACATAACTCTAAACTGGTTGTGTTAGAGCATAACAAATATCCATCTGCAGCTTACTTAAACTTAAATTGTTTATTGCATATTTTATGAAATAATAGAAATGCTACAGTTTAATAAAAAAATCAAACATAAATTAAAATTTCTTCAGACTATAAAATTCTAAGTGAGACATGACTGCAATTTGTTGCAAATATATAAAAATTGAAATATATATTTTTTCTCAATGAACACATGTACATGTATAATTAGTTTTAATTATATTATACAATACTAATTTAGTTTTAATCATGCACTAAAACATAAATTTGTTTTAATTACATTACACCAATTGGAAGATCTTTATCTGGACTAGCCATCAAGAACTCTTAATTAACACATGCAACTATGAACTATGGCCATTTCTTTTTGCCCAACTCCCAAGAGTTAAATAAAGATAACAGCTGCATCATTGCTAGAGATGCTCTTAGCTCCTGACAATAAACTCATTAATTTCTCTCTAATTTGACATGCAAGTTTTTGCTATCAAAATTCTTCTTGACCAGTGCTTGATAATTATGCCCATGGGACAAACTAAATTCCTCTCAAAGCATAAACATTTGTTACAGATTGCTATAAAGTATATAATGAAAAAATAATTTTTTACTTAATTTAACATTTTTTAATAAGGATACAACTATATTTTTTACATTTTTTAGGATTATGAAGTTTAAAATTTAAAAGACTTAGTTTTTTAAAAAAAAAAATCACTTAAATTAAAGGTCACAGTGACCTTGAAATAGGCCGCGACACACCTTCTACAATAGCTGTATACTTTTGCCAAGTTTGAAAGCTCTAAGTCTCATAGTTTTCTAGTTATGAGCCGGACAGGATTTTTCCATATTTGGCTATAGCATCTTTATTAAAGGTCAGAGTGACCTACTTTTTGTGCGAGACACACCTTCTACCCAAGATGTATCAGCTGACAAAATTTGGTAACTCTAGGCCTTATAGTATTAAAGTTATGAGCCGGACACAAGAAAAGCTAACAGACGAACAGACAGACAGACAGACAGACGGACGGACACGAAGCCTATAACATAATACGTCCCGTCTTAAGATGGGCGTATAAAACTTATTCTACACAGAATCTACACGTAATTTCGATCCAAACGAAAAGGAAAATTTGCAATAACGGAAAACATCTACTCTCCTCATGCAAAAATCGTTCAAGTCCATTTTTTGTGTTTTTTTAATTTTAAATATCATTGTAAATCACTGACGACAGCCACACATCTCTTTCACTTCATTTTTAATGTCGCAATTGAATTAGAAAATAAAAATCTGTGACATCAAAGTCCATCGAAGAGTTTTCTAGTTAAACCGGGATTTTAAGAGGGCTGAAATATATTATGATCAATCTCAAACTACAACAAACCACAACAATTACACGTTAAATCCTCAACCTTATCCAAGACTGACTAACACTCATTACATCTACCCCATTAAATTGTCAATACTAATCTGACCGAATCTTACATATTTCATGGAAGTATATATACTGCGGATGGGTACTCCTCGACGGTGCCTGATCTACAGAACTCTGGCGCTAGTTTGGATGTTGCACAGTAAAAAAGTGGGCGGAGCTATTTTTCTTTGATTGTGTCACAACTCATTTTGAGAACTCGACAGGTTCTGCATTGTAGATACAAATTTGGGGGTGGAGACTGAGCTACGCAGTTACAATTGTGTTTTAAGATATATTTCAAGTTCTTAACAACTAATCTTCAGTATGTACTGTTAATGTTCGAAATATTTTTAGAAATAAAAATTGGAATTAACTTGAATCCTTAATCAAATAAAAATAACTTATTTGTTTGTTTATTTATTTTGGATTACTGTTCTATATCCCAAATTTGTTCTGTTTTTTTAGGCACATATCAAGCACTTGTCCTCACTTTGCCTTGCCAATGACCAAATAAATGGTGGACTACAGTATCTGAAGATTTTTTAAGGAGTTGAATGGCATGCAGACCTCTGACTATGGCTGCTAAATCAAAGCTTTGCAGTTTTATGTGAAGAATTAAAAAAATATATAGGAGTATGTAAAGAAATATTGTAGCTGTAAATGGAAGTAACTTCTTTCTATTTTCATCTATATTAAAAAAATATTTCCATAAATATACACTGAGTAGTCAAAAAAGTTGCAAATGTAAACTGTACATCTAAAAGTCTAAGGCCATGTGATTGAAATAATTTTGATTCTAAAATTGTGAAAAGTATGTTCATTGTATATAAAATTAAGGCAGTCATTTTCAATAGTTATTTAAGGAATAACTGTCAAGTTAGTAGAGTACAAACGATAGTTAAAATTGTCAGATAATTTGTATAAGAGTGAAGCTAACTAACTAGACAGTGATTCCTTATATTTCCTTTTCATTGTGAAATATAATTTTCAAATTTAGATTTTAAAAATATAAACAAATAGATTCAAATTACACAAGGCCACCCGTGTCAATTTCAATAGTCACCACCCATTCAGGTCAAACACAAAGACAGCACACAAGATTTACATGCATGTGGACCTTAGAATAAGACGCAAAGGCAGATGCTCAAGATGGAAATATTTAAATGTTAATACAGTGTACTAGCCTAACTAAAGGTACCTTATGATTGTTGATGTACAGTTATTCAAATATCATTTTGCAATTGTAGATACAGAATTTGGATTTATAGGCATTTACTATCTATGTCAATTCAACAAAATTTATTTTCATGTACTAAAAAGATACGAGTTGAATTGAATATTTTCTGTTACACACATGTATGTTGATGTAGCTTGTAAATGAAACACGTCTAGCCTGTGTTTGTTTCCTTGTCTTTTCTGTTAATACTAAAGGAAAAAAATGTTTTTAAACTATAACTATATTCCACTTAAATTAAGCTCAGTAAGTAGAATTTTTATATCTATCATAAGCCATTTGAATTTAAAAACATGTATTTTTATTTCTTCTGCATTCTACACAGGGAATCTTCAGTTGAACATGTATCCCACCTTCTTTAATATTAAATTTAAAAAAAAAACATTAATTCCACTGAGAAAAAATAGATTGCAATGGTAATCTAATTTTTTGGTTTGGTATTTTTTTTTTTCCTAAGCCTTCCATTTTTTTTTAATTCTAAATTGACATATCAGTATCACCAGAGAAATGTATAAGATATCATGTTCCAGAAATTAAATGTTTTATGATCTATGAAGTATACAATATATTTGTCAATGCATGTTTTTTTTTTTTTAGTCAACAATTTATTTCCCCCTTCAGAAGCAGACTGTTAGATCTATAAAAATTGCATTGTTTACATTTGATTTCCAGGTATTACTAATTTTACAAACTGCATGCAAACAATATTTTGACTTTGCTTAACTTTAATTTTAAGGTACTCTCTAAACCATTGGGGTGGGTATAACCTATACATTGCTTCTTTTTCAAAAGTCGCAAGATAAACAAAAAACAAGAGGCCCATGGGCCACATCGCTCACCTGAGTAACTTGGGTGATGTAGTTCTTTACCAGATTCCCCATCTTGCTATACCTATCATGCCTCACTACCCACTTCCCTTTTATGATTTTAAAACTTTAGAATCTACACTATCCCAGGATGCTTCCACATAAGTTTCAGCATTCCTGGCCCAGTGGTTCTTGAGAAAAAAGATTTTTAAAGATATGTTCTATATAAAACTTGAATTCCCTATTTTGGCTCCACCCTACCCCCAGGGGGTCATGATTTTAACAATTTAATATCTACACTACTCAAAGATGCTTCCACATAAGTTTCAGCTTTCCAGGCCCAGTGTTTCTTGAGAAGAAGATTTTTAAAGATTTGTTCTATATTTCTATGTAAAAATTGGATTCCCTATTGTGGCCCCGCCCTACCCCCGGGGGTCATGATTTTAACAATTGAATATCTACACTACCCAAGAATGCTTCCACATAAGGTTCAGCTTTCCAGGCCCAGTGTTTCTTGAGAAGAAGATTTTTAAAGATTTGTTCTATATATTTCAATGTAAAACTTGGATTCCCTATTGTGGCCCCGCCCTACCCCCGGGGGTCATGATTTTAACAATTTGTTATCTACACTACCCAAGGATGCTTCCAAATAAGTTTCAGCTTTCCTGGCCCAATGGTTCTTGAGAAGAAGATTTTTTAGTGACCCCACCCTAATTTTGTCTTTTCTTGATTATCTCCCCTTGTAAGGGGACTTGGCCTTTCATTTTAACAATTTAAACTCCCCAACACCCAAGGATGCTCTGTACTAAGTTTGATTAAAATTGGTCCATTGGTTCTTGAGAAGAAGTCGAAAATGTGAAAAATTTACAAACGGACAGACGGACAGACAGACGGACGGACGACGGACAAAATGTGATCAGAATAGCTCACTTGAGCCTTAGGCTCAGGTGAGCTAAAAAACCAGCTTAAAAGCATTTTAATTTTCTAAGGTGTTTTTTGTTAATTTATAAACTTGTAATCACTGTATATTTATAGATTATAAAACTACATAAAACTTCAATAAATACTGCAGTATGTCACTAGCTAAGGGTAACCCTGGTATTTATTCAAAAGAATTTTTATTCAGTTATAAGGTATGACTTTAGACCCTTCAGCCCCTTCATGGGTTTCAGTTTCCAAATTTTATAGCTATAAAATGACTTGCAGTTGTAAAAGGGGTTTTTCAAATTTTGAAGAAAAGTAGCTTGCACCCCCATCCTCAAAAGGCTCAATAAAACTCCATTTTTCATAATATTTATTTTTTTTTATTATCTCTTGAAGAAAAAAAAATTAGAGCAAGTTATTGAGTATATTGTTTCTCCAAGGATGAATCCAGGATATGTCTTTGTACTCTCATGTCATTTAGAACTTGTGTATTTTTATCACATTTTCCAATTTATTTTTTCCCATTTATAAATATTTTTTTGTTAAAAAAAATAAATAAGACACTTCCACCTTGTTATGTTTAGTAAAAAGTTGTCAATATAATTTTGAAGCGATATGAGCAAAAATAAATCGATAAAAATAACATATTGCAGATTTATTAAAAACAGGTGCGTGTGGTGGATTTGATCCGCTCCCATATAAAACAAAAATGGCGTCATACAGCAAACGCTTCGTACTCATCGTAATTTTCGTGAAATACTGCAAGTAGAAATATTATCATGGAAAATTTCGATTAGTATAAATGCATGCAGGAGAATATTCATTTGATTTGCACCAAAACGTGACTGATTCTATCAGGAAAATAGAAATCTAGCCGAAAATTCTATGGCATGTCCTGTCGCACGACTGCTGTATAGACGAATTTTACATTCCTTAGAGTTATCCCCGGTTGTCGGCGTAACGCTCATTTTTCCCACTTTGTCCTTTGTAAGTTACCTGTTAATATTTTTAAAATGTCAAACGTTTTATGACAATTTCGATCTGAACCTGTATTGCCAGAGTATGGGACAACATGATAAACATAATGAGCATGTTCAAATAGATTTTATTTCTAGGATAGTTGGTTAGGTTATAGAAGGAAAACGGCGTCTTACGCCGGTTGACCCCAGATTGACCCCGAAAAATGGAATAACTTAAGACTTGCTACTCACCTGTGAGTTTATTAACTCTAAACAACTTTTTTCTTTCTCCGAGACGATTGGGGGTTTGAAAAAAATTGTGTAATTTATGTATCTTGCGAAAAAATTACAAATAACTTCCTTTTACCAGATAGGCCTATAAACGTGAAAACGAAAATCGGCAATAAATAATGGCCATTGGGTACTCGGCAATAATGGGTACTCGTACGTTGTTTTTGTAGTTTTATAAATATATATATATATATATTGAAAAATACCTGGTACTTCCGCGTTTGCCATCTGAGATTTGGTTGTACAGCAGTGAAATAGGGCAAAGGTGAGCTTATCTGCAACCTTAGGACTAGGCTGCGGCGCATGCGCCAACTTTTCATAAACATCCTGTTACATTGCAAAGTAGGACTAGGCTACTTGCGCATGCGCCAACTTTTTATATATATCCGGTTACAAAAGCTAAGTAATTTAACAGTGTTTAACAGTTTATCCTGCATATTCAACATATGTAAACAATTTTTTTATTCACTACACAAATAAAAGCTAAAGTACATTTGAAATAAATATATAAAGTACCCTATATATTAATTCTTAATCTACACTGTATCCATTCAAACACATCGGGGGGGGGGGGGGGGGGGGCACCCTCATACCGCATGTATTCAATCTGCAAAATCAGCTTCAGTTAAAATTTTATCTATATATTTTTATGACTAATACAAATCTTTTTACATTATATATAATCATGTCAGGAAAATTCCAACTTATACATGATCTTCTCGATATACGACAATGTAAATTATACCTCAGTCATATACACATGTTGTTGTGTTTTCTAACCTGCTTATTCAACCTAACTGCGGGGCTACGTGTACATTTTTGCATAATGTGATGTGTCAGAATTAATAATAACATTTTGAGTTATTCTAATTTTACTTCATTCCCTACCTAAATCCGTATTTATGGTTTAAAAACTAAAAAAAACGAGTGTATCTAAAGCAAGTCCTTTGTTTCTGATTTAAAAAAACGTATCGTATTTCAATCCTGCAATATTCAATGGTTGAATTTTGAATGGCATATAAGTTGAAAATTGAATTATTTTCACCACTTTTATCAAATATGTAAATCCAGGATTGAAAATAATGAATATCTACCCATACGAAGCACAAATTTTCTATCAGCTGCCGAGTAAATTTCAACAACATCCGGGTGACAGTTCTCTGTGACGTCCGCTCTTTACACCTTAGTATATAAGCATCATACAGTGCCTGAGAGCGTCATTCCACAGGAACGCCATGAAGACTAAGGTCTTGGTGTGTGGGCACAGTTTTGTGCGTAGACTTCGAGACTGGATGACTGCACACAGCAAGGGCATGCCACTCTGGAATGCTGATGTCCTTCTGCATGGAGTTGGAGGTAGGACTGTTCCACAGGTCTATCATCTGGACATGGAGTTGGTGAAGAGCATTGGTCCTGGAGTTACTTTCCTTCAGCTGGGGGGGAATGACATCAACGACCAGACCGGACCCACTGATGTCCTGATGAAGCTGAAGAGGCTGATTTCCGTGTTGCGAGAGAAGCATCCTGATTCCACCATCATTGTTGGCTCCATTTTCTCTCGACAACGGCCGAGGGGCCTTTCTGAGCGATCTTATGGTCGCAAGAAGAAAGGTATCAACAGGTTTCTTGCTAAGGAATTTGGTGCTTTTGAGCAGGGTAAGAAGGTTTTCTTCTTTACCCACAAATTCTTTAACAAGAACTTGTTTGACAAGGATGGAGTGCATCTGAATGATCAGGGAAACAGGTGCTTCTACCACAGCATTTTATCGGTCCTTCGGCAAGTCCTGTGAAGAACAGTCCATCTGCTCTCCATACAGTCGTACACAGCTTCCTGGTGCTTGTCTGCTGTTCATCCAGTCATCACAAACGGCCTTTCTAAAGGCCACGGCCGAAAGGCCACAAATTCTTCGAAAAGATGCCTCAGTTACATTGTTGAAAGAAACGAAATGGGTTATTTATAATAAATATATTTAAAATTTAATTTAATTGCAAAAAATTAAAGATAAAAACTGGTCAGATGGAATTATTTTTAAAAAATGTGCTGAACACCAAAATAAAATCATATTTATTTTGTTTTTCAGATCAATTAAAGAAAATATTTTTTTGACTTTTAAAAAATGTTCCATTAAATAATTCCATCTGTCCAGTTCCCGTCTTTGATTGTGTAAAAAAAAAATGGAAATTTCAATTCTATACTTTTATTTCCCTTTTTAAATGGGAATAATTTTTTTTGAAAAATAATTTAAATCTTGTGTTGAAAACTTTAATTATCTATTGCATACATGTAATTCCTTCATGAGTCTAATTGAAAATAACACACACATTTTCATATATTATACTTAGTTATTACCGGGTTTAAATGCAGTGAGAGGTTCCTTATACACCTATTAGGGGCAGAGGCACTTTCTTCCTACACGGGGTACCTCTTAGTACTTATATATATTAAGTAAGGGATACCCCGTATACGAAACAAATGCTTGTGATTAAGGGGATATGATTTTAGTAAAAACAAAACACTTTTTCAGTACATACTTTGGACTTATGGCCATTCCATTTTTTTCTAATTAAAATAATAAACAAATATTTGAAATGCCTGTTTACCAGTACTCTTTTGGATGGGCATGTCCCTTTTTGTGTCAATAAACCAGTGGTTGACTTGAAAAACTTGTATACAATGCAAAGAAAATTCTAAAATGATGTAGAGAAATTATGAATTGAACTTCTAAATGGGTTTTCTCCCCTTGGTTTGTGTGTTTTTCATAACAGAAACATAATCAAAGTAGATGAAAAAAAAAGAAAGGTGAAATAGTTTTGGCTAATGATACTTTGCGGAACGAAACGGAACGGAACGGAACCAGTTGTGGGGCACCCTAGGGGGGATATGAATATATTATATATGATAAAAAATATATTATAAAAGCTAATATAATAAGTTACTTTATTACAAATTATTCTGCCATTTTATATCTTGGGAAACCAACCAAAAAGAAGTGTCAAGTGTCTGAAGTAGAGGACCATGAAATAAAATGTCTATAAGTGATGAATTATTTTGTCGTTGAGTTTTTGATCTGCTGTGTCAAGTGTAGTGACTATGTGAACTGTTTTGAATGAGAGACGTACACCTATCATTAATGTAAAAAATTATTAATGCTTTTCCTTCAAAGCTTACTGTCAATAGCTTATTATCAAAAGAATATCCTTTATGTGCCGTCTAAACGTAAAGAGAGTTGTCGCGCTTTGCCAGTATGGTCATCTCTGGTTCCGTTTCGTTCCGCTAAATACCAATATCCGTGTGGGTATTAGTATTTAGCGAAACGGAACGAAACACAGTTAAGTTGGAATAAGATGATACACATACAAGCATTTTGTTGTTATTCATTTCATATCATCTTTTTATTTATTAAAAATTAAATTTAGGGGAAAAAATAAAATAGGAAGAATGTAATTCATCCAGCATATATCCAGCATAATAAAAGGATTTTTGCAGAAGAAATTCATCCATCATATATCCAGCATAATAAAGCATATTTTTTACCTTTCAAACTTCTTCAAAAGTTTTGTCTTTATATCAGTTATGTATACAAATACAATCGCAGGCCTTGATGTTGATAGGAAAACGTAAATACCATCTACTAGTATCTTCAACTAAATTGATATGCAAAATAAGTTTAACATAGATCTTAAAACGCGTGATTTGCAATTTGCTGTATGCTAACAAATATGTTTACTACCTGAACCTTGATCGATATCTTAAATATTCAGTTCTGCGCTAATAAGAAAAGAAACACACACAACAGGTTCCGTTCCGTTTCGCAAAATACCATTATCCACTACAATATTAGTACTTTGCGAAACGAAACGGAACGGAACTACAATATCAAGGGTTTTAAAACTCTGTTAATGAACGACATGAGATTTTTTTTGCCCTGTTAGGATTTGAATTTAAAAATCACGCTCAGCAAGAAAATTAATTTGACCGGCGACAGTCCGAAAAATTCTTGTTTTCTTTACATACAGTCAAAGAAAAGGTTTTTTTTAACTTTTCATTTCTGTAAGCATATTAAACACTATTTATATTAGAAAAGAAGAGGAAAGAAAAATATTTCAAAATGATCAAATCTTGTTCCGTTCCGTTCCGCAAATTACCAATATCCACACGGGTATCGGTACTTTGCGGAACGAAACGGAACCACATCTTCTCATTTGAAGAGAAAAAAAACAAGAACCAACCAAAAACAACATAAATCTGCCGTAGTATTCATAGGAATATTTCAAAATTATTTTACCTGATAGAACAAGTCATTTTTGATTAAAGAGATATATGACATTCACGTAACAACTTATTTCTTCATATATTTATTTCATTGTTACAATTTTGCTGAGGTTCGTTTAGTTCCGCTGATCATGAATACTAGTACTAATTTCTGTAGTGACTATGTGAACTGTATTGAATGAGAGACGTACACATATCACTGATGTAAAAAGTTATTGCTTTTCTTTCAAAGTTTATTGTCAATAGCTTATTCTCCTTCACCACAAAGTCACGTGGGTATCACGTGAGATATGCAAGCCTACTCCCAGATCAGTTGCGCGTTTATTCCCAGATCGAGCAGAAGTGTTTTTTCATTGGATGTGATTATTAATTGAATTTGGATATCTGAACAATGTCAGTGTTACAAAAACTTTCTGACGAGTTTGGAATTAGTACCTAAACCTTGAAATTGAGCAGTTTGCTCCGCCCACAAGAACTGCTTCTGATGATGGAATAATTAATACATTTAAACGCATTAGTACTTTTTGTCGCACATTTTGTCGACAATGCAGAATTTTCATACCTTATTTTTTTTCTAACATCAGTAATAATTCTCAACATTGAATGAGAGAGAGAGAAAGGGAGGGAGGGATAAATCAAACGTAAAAGATTTTTGTACTTGGTTTTAATTAACAGTAATTGCTTGACAGTACGGGCTTATCTAAAATAAAAGTATAATATAATAGGTTCTAGGGCATTATTATCACACTGAAGCTGTCAACTGTGACCATTAAAATTTTTTGTTGGTTCATATGTTAGAAAAATGCGTGCTTATCGCAGAATTCTCCGTTATATACCAGAATTCTGTAATTTCTTGCAGACATGAAGACTTCAAGACAGTAGATTTATCGGTTTCACACGGTTGTTTTCTTGTTCTGTCTTTAATGCGATAACCCTTTACATTTCACCATTTTAATGGAATGCAGACATTTTATTTGAAAAATTGAAACTTATAAAAATTATATATAGTACATTC